AGAAATTTTTTTTTTTACATATTTGGTTATCGATTGTGACTCACCAGTCGGAAGTTCCTGGGTCCGGAAGTTCCTGGGTCCGCCAAGGGTTGTCAATAGGGCGGGGTGGGGCGGATTTTAGTCTTCCTAATCCTCATCTCAATCTAAAATTTTCATATCCATCCTCATCCATCATCCCGCGAGGGTCTAAAATTCATCCCCATCCCGCCCACTTGAATAATCACCCACCTAATCCCCACTAAGATCTGCTAATCCCGCCTCCAAATACACAATCCTTCATAATTAATAAAGATTGCAAAAAGAAAAAATTATTATTAATATTACACATTCTATTGTTTATAATATAAGTGTATTACAAAGTATTATATTTACTATTTTATTTTACATAATTTTTTTTTATAAAATAGTATAAAAGTATATAATTTTTGTTTTTTAAAAATATATGGATGTGGGGATGGGGCGGGGTAGAAGTGGGGTGGGTGGAGATGGAGCGGGTACGAAGTGGGGTGGGTGGGGATGGAGCGGGTACGAAGTGGGACGGGTGGGGCGGATAAACTAAAATCCACCCCGCTCATCACCCATGGCGGGTATGGTTTTTATCTCCATCCCCGCCCATCACCCGCCAAACAAGATTCATCCCGCGCCAACGCAGCTCTCTTATTTGACCGCCCAACGCGGGTCTCTTATTTGACCCGCCCCACTGACATCCCTAGATATGTGCTTTATAAGTGGGTAAAAGACACTTGTAATTTGAAAAAACAAAAAAAAAAAAAAAAAAAAAAAGGTAGAGAAACAGAGTGTAATTGGATAGAGTTGACATATTTTGACTCATATAGTATAAGCTACTCCGTATAAAATTAAATGCTTGTTGTTACTTTTATTTTTCTTAAATAAATAAATAAATATCTGGACTAATAGATTTAGAATACTTTTTTTTATTTTTAACTAGTAGATATACAAACCAACAGAGTTGTTTTTTTTTTTTTTTAAGGAACATACCAACATAGTATGACTATGGGCCGTTACTGTTAACTTAGTGAAGTATAACTTGAGGTTCAGGTTCAATGCATAATAATTCATTTGAGGCTCAGGTTCAAGGCATAATTACTTAAGTGGGGTCCAGAAAAGCTGTGATGCATTTATAAATCTATGTGGTCATTAGTTCTTCTTATTAACCACAACTAATTATTTGCGGTTGAGGTTCACGTTGAAGTTGATAGTTGTGATAATTTCTTGATGGAATCTTAAAGCTGCAACTACTGAGTAGTATTTATCTTCTCTCTTTGTTCCTTTATTTCCCAGTTTATATTTCTGTAGTTTGAAATTAAAATTAAAAGAGGTGGTTTTTGGTGTTCTTGTTGAAGCTAAGGAAATGATAACTTGCGGAGAAGTAGATTCTAAAGGTCACTTGGAATTGAGGGAGGATCCAGAGGCATGGATTAAAAATAACCCTCCTTCTCGTCTAGCCTTGCGTTGTTATGAAAAGGAAGAGGTAGGAGAATCAATAGGTGAGCTCACACAGCTCATCCGCTGGAATTCTTGTACTGTGATTCCCTGAAATGTGTGTCTAACACCATCACTAGGCTTCACAAATTGGAGCACTTGCAATTTTATAAGTGTTATTGTTTGGAAGAATTGCCGGCAAATATAGGGCAGTTGGTGAGCCTTACTCATCTCAAGCTTGATTATTGCGAGAACATAAAGTTCCTTCCTGATAGCATTGTAAATCTATCCAATTTGACTTATTTAACTCTCTCTTCCTGTGATTCCCTTGTTGAATTGCCGGCAAATATAGGGCAGTTGGTGAGCCTTACCCATCTCAAACTTAAATATTGCAAGAACATAAAGTCACTTCCTTTGAGCATTGCAAATCTATCCAATTTGACATCTTTATCTCTCTTTTCTGTGAGTCCCTGGTTGAATTGCCGGCAAATTTGGATGGGTTGGCCCATTTATGTCTTCTTGATATTCAATCATCCAAAATCAAGTGTCTTCCTTGGAGCATCACGAAGCTACGCAAACTCGACATCTAATGTTGCCCGAACATTTCAGACTCGAAACGTTGCCATATGACTTGAATCATTCGGTCATCATTTCTGTTAAAGATAGGCATGTTCGCAAATCCTGGGAGGAACTTAAAACAGAGATAGGAGAATTGCCCATTCCTTTTGGTGGAGGTAAGTTTACATTGCAATGCTTTTACTTTTACAGTTTTACTCCAAATTTGTTTGTTCTAGTTGACGTGGTAGTTATACTATGTAATAATCAAGCTTATCTCTTCTCTCCCCCTCCTACAATGGCAGAAATAAGAAATGATGCAGCTCAAAAATCCCTCTATCATATCTCCTCCTGGTTATCTCCGATTGAAGGAGGATGATCCTTCGCAATGGATTATTAATAACAGAAATTTACTCATGTTGGTTTCGATTTTTTGGACTTGGAAAATGTTAAGGAGTTAACAGATTCCATAATGCAATTCAGTGAGCTCACCCACTCTATCTCTACTTCACTGATCATATTTGCCTCCCGGATAACTACTTTGTCACATTCACAAGGCTTACACGTCTCTCTCTCGACTCTTCTGATGTTGAAATTGATGAGTCCGTTATTCACAGCTTAAGCAAGCTATCCAATTTACAAACACTACATCTGCGATTATCCATTTATGATAGCTTGGAAAATTTTAATATGCCTGTCAGCCTCAAACATCTCTCTTTATCATCTTGCAATATGAGGCCACTTTATGATAGCTTGGAAAAGTTAACTAACTTAAGGAGTCTGGATCTCAATTCCTGTGATTATTGCGAGTCATTGCCACCATGTATGTATATTCACAAACTCAGGCTTGTGGATTGCTCTTTCGAGTCACTTGATCACTTCCTATTGGCCTACATCACTCTGGAAATTTTGTTTTTTCAAAGATTATAATGACCTGAGATGTATCTTTGAAAAATGTTGGAATAAATTAGTCAACCTGGAGACACTCTCCATTAATGTTCTAAAATGGAGTTCTTTCCTGAAGATATAGCAAGACTCACAACTTGCAAGAATTACAACTCAAAGACCTGTATCAGCCCTCGAAAACTACATCAAAATCTACATGAGTTAGTCAATTTGCATACTCTTGATATTAGCGTCACCAGAATCAAGACCTTCCTCCTAGTTTTGTGAAGCTGCGCAATCTACTACAACTTAATCCTCCCCAAGTGTTTTAACTTTGAAAGATTGCCAAGGAAATCTGAAGCAAGTGTCATCATCGATGACACAGAAGAAGCATACTACAAGAGCAACGCCTATGATGCTTCCTTTACCAAGCTCAGCCTCCGATGAAAGCGAAGATGAAGTAACTGTTGTTCCTAGAGGTAATTAAATGTTGCAGTAATTCATATGTCATAACTTGCATTTTTTTTATCATCATTGATGACACGGATGATGCATACTTCACACATATGAATAATCTCGTAATCAAAATGCCAACAGTAGAAATTCATGAAACTGTCCCTGATGAGCAGACATCAGCAGATCCTTTCAACAGTATAAGTATGGGCTCTATTGAGCACATAAAACAGCACAAGGTGGTATTGAGCAAGATAATGGTGAGAACAGTCATCATGATTTAGAAAATGGGCAGAAACAGGTCCCTCAACACAATAAGGTGGAGAGAAATAGTAGAATTGAAATATCTGAAGAGAAGCTACACAAATGTTGGTCCGAAAACCCGATGTCACTACAAGAAACTGCAGAAAAAATATTTGGAGGTATCATGATCGCATTTTGTTTGTATTAGAATTGTTAATTATCTGAGACTGCATTTACATACTCTTGCAAAATCTGTTTATTCATTGAAGTTTTAATTTCTATTGATGCCACTGATATTTCAAAAGGAATAATAATGCTGTATTCAATGCAAAACTTCATTGAGAACTTTTTCCTAGAGCAAAACTATTAAAACATTGAGTAATGTTGTGCCATGTGCGGAGTAACATAAATTTACATCATGGACACTACACAATTTTTTTTTTTTTTTTGGTTGATAAAATGGAAACTAAGCAAATTTAGATGTTCATGTGAAATTTTGATCCCTGCCTTTTAATAATTTCAAGCAAACTCTTATTTACAATGTGCGAACTCTAATTATATATGTTTGCTTACTTAATTTGTCTTCATTGATGTTAATTGTCTCTTTGAACTTTTATAAATAGTGTGGTCACATTTATACTCGTGAAAAATTTTTGTTTACCTATATTCCTAATTAATGTTAATTGGTCATAACTAAATTTGTGGTTATGACTTTATAAGGATGGTTTTTGAAAATTAATTTATCTTAAGACTGAGATAGACATCCTGTCATCCGATGATTTCCATAAAAAAATTAACTGCTTGAGCTTCTTTATCATACTTGACTTCAATTTGCAGTATCATACTTGGCTTTTCTAAATGATTAATCAAACTTGACTTCAATTTGCAGTATCGAGGTCTACATTGAAACGAACAATAAAAGAATTGGGTTGTCGAGAAGTGGCAAGAAAAGGAAGAAAACAACAGCTGATGCAAAGAAGAGGAAAACAAACAATACAGCACCATTTGAAAGTTATTGCTCACAACAGAATGTGGTGAACCTAGGTAGTTTCAGCAGCTCACACGGAAATGTGCAGTGTATAATGGGATCAGACCTGCATTTGGAAGAGCCTTTAATTGAAAGCCATATGGATATCCAGCAACAAGTCCAAGGCATCTGGAGGCGCTCTTCATACAACTGAAAGTTCAGGCACAATTGTTGTAAAAGCCACTTACAAGGAGCTTTCAGTGAGAATTGTTTCTCTTTGACTTTACCGATTAATCAACTAATTGAAGAAATAAGGCATTGAAGTTCCAACTTGAGTTGAACAAATATAGATTGCTTTATCAAGATGAAGATAAAGAGTGGATGATGCTGACTAGTGTGGAAGATTTGAAGTATGCTTCGAATGTTGCTGAATATTGGGAACCAAGTTTGTTAGATTGTCTGTTATTGACTATGTTGTTTAATAATGTGCTTCCATTTATTTGAGTGATTTAAGTGTAACACTCCAAAGTTGACCTAAGTATTGTAGAGATGTTTGTCTGTTATGAACAAAAAATTGTCGTGATGTAACTCAATAACTTTACTGCTCTACTGAATAATACCAGTACATGAATATTTTTATTTTTTGTGATGGAACAAGAACTTTGTGATAAATTTTTAGATGTTCATTATGTGAAATTTTGATCCCTGCCTTTTAAAAATTTCAAGCAAACTCTTATTAACAATGTGCGAACCTCTAATTATATATGTTTGCTTACTTAATTGTCTTCATTGATGTTAATTGTCTCTTTGAACTTTTATAAATAGTGTGGTCACATTTATACTCGTGAAAATATTTGTTTACCTATATTCCCTAATTAATGTTAATGGTCCATAACTAAATTTGTGGTTATGACTTTATAAGGATGGTTTTTGAAAATTAATTTATCATTAAGACTGAGATAGACATCCTGTCATCCCGATGATTACCATAAAAAATTAACTGCTTGAGCTTTTTATCATACTTGACCAATATGCAGTCTCGAGGTCTACAATGAAGCGAAGATTGAAAGAATTGAAGCTGTTTGTGCCATCAAGCAAAAAAGGAAAGCAACATCTTGATGATGCAAAGAAGAGGAAACATAATAGTAAAGCACCATTTGGTAGTGATTCCACACAGCAGAATTTGGTGATTCCTACTAATTCAACAGCTCAAGCGAAAATTGTTGGGGCCGTATAATAGGAGCAAACCAGCTTACGTTGCCAAATCATGTATCATCCAACTCTGATGTTGTTGGCAACTTGGCCCCGGACACAATAGTGGAAAACGTTAGAGGGAACTTAATGGATACTCAAGGCAATATGGATTGTCAGCATGGCGAAGAGCATTATCTGGATGGTGCAAATGACCAAGGGCATTTGGAGGGCGCTCTTCATTCAACTGAATGTAATCGCGCTGCGACACTAGAAGAAACTTTCGATCCAATGGTAATTGAAAGCCATATGGATACCCATCAACAAGCTCAAGGGCATTTGGAGGGTGCTCTTCATTCAACTGAAAGTAATCGCGCTGCAACACTAGAAGAAACTTTCGACCCAATGGTAATTGGAAGCCATATGGATATCCAGCAACAAGTCCAAGGGCATCTAGAAGGCGCTCTTCATACAACTGAAAGTTCAGGCACTATTGTTGTAAAAGCCACTTACAAGGAGCATTCAGTGAGAATTGTATTCTCTTTGACTTTACCGATTAATCAACTTTGAAGAAACAGGCATGAAGTTCCAACTTGCTTTGAACAAATATAGATTGTTTTATCAAGATGAAGATAAAGCGTGGATGATGCTGACTAGTGTGGAAGATTTGAAGTATGCTTCGAATGTTGCTGAATCATTGGGAACCAAGTTTGTTAGATTGTCTGTTATTGACTATGTTGTTTAATACTGTAAAACTATTGCTTATAGTTGACATATTTTGACTCATGTAATTAAATGTTGTTACTCCGTGTTACTTTTTCCCTTCTTAAAAGTAGGAATAGTAATGTGAGGATTAATAAGAGAGAAGTAAAAGGAGGGAAGAAAATAAGATTTCCATTATTTTCTAAAGGAAAATATTTTCCACCGTATGTATTTAGAGAGTGATGAAATGGGAGATATCATAAAAGTATAAATCTTATGAATATAGAGAGATAAAATAAATATTACGAAGTACAAGCTTAGAGAATCAGAGTGTAGAGGAAAATGAGTCTTGTTATTCTCACACAAAGATGTTAATTATGGGTCAGGTCATTTCTGGTTGTTTTGTGTTTTGAGTCTGTAGGGTTAAGATCGGGTTGCGTCACTTTGGGTTTCGGGTCGCTTTGGGTATCGAGTTAATTTGGGTATAAGATCAATTTCGGGTTAACATTTTTGGGTTAATTTCGGGTCATGGATCGGGTTAGGATTGCCGGGTCAATGTCGGGTGAATGGGTAATTATTTAGTGAGGTCCAAGTTTTTTTTATTTTTTTTTATTTTTCAAGGTTCAGGTTCAATACACAACTAGTTTTTATTTCATTATTTTTTTTTTTAAGAAAATAAGGTTCAGGTTCAAATATACTTCGTACAACTTAGTGAACTAGGGTTGATTGTGGGGTCCAGAATAGCTGTGCTGCATTATTAATCTGATAATCTCTATGGGTTGTTCATCAATCCCTATCCACCTCACTTTTTTTTTTTTTTTTTTTTTGGGGGGGGGGGGCGGTGGGAAGAAATAGGAGAATAATGTAGGTTCAGGCTCAAAGTTTTTATAAATTGGTAGCTGCTTCTCAATTCTCATATACTAGTACAGTACGTATTCAATATTTCATTCAAATCCTGAAAGTTAGAGTATCCCTGCTATACAAAGTGACTCTGCAACTATGGAAAGTGAACAAGGAAATTATGAGCATGAGCAGAACCAAACCCTTCAAAATGACATCAAGGGTTACAAAAGAAAAGAAATTTCACTAGAGACGCTTCAATCATTTTGGTCCAAAAATATGACATTCCAAGAAGCTGCAGAACAAGTTGGAGGTATGTTACTTTATGATTAAAAATTTTTGGTCCTAGAACAAATTTATGTTATGTGCTTTTAATTCCATGAATTTGTTCAGCAAATTGTAGTTAAATAAAAATAGTTTATGTTTTGATTCTTGGTCTTTCTTAAATGACCACAATTTGCAGTCTCGAGGTGTACAATGAAGCGAAGATTGACAGAATTGAAGCTGGTGTGGCCATCAAGCAAAAAAAGGAAGCAACATCTTGATGATGATGCAAAGAAGAGGAAACACGATAGTAAAGCACCATTTGGAAGTGATTCCACAACACATCAGAATTTGGTGAATCCTTCTAATTCAACTGCTCACGCGGATATTGTGGGGAAGGGTATAACTGGATGCGACCGGCATATGTTGCCAAATCATGTATCATCCAACTCCAACGCTGTTGGCAACTTGACCATGGACACAAGAGTGGAAAACGTTAGGGAGAACTTAATGGATAATCAACGTTCTGAAGAGCATTAGAATGGATGATGCTGACTAGTGGAAGATTTGAAGTATGCTTCGAATGTTGCAATCATTAGAAACCAAGTTTGCTAGATTGTCTGTTATTGACTATGTTCTTTAATAATACTAGTGCTTATACTGGCTTAAGTCAGTTAACATTTGTGCTCTGGACTAGCAAAGAGTATGACTATGGGCCGTTTATTTAGGCCCCGGTTGATTGTTTTCAATAAAACATTAGTTTTCATGAGCATATAGTTTCTAGGAAAACCACAACTATAAATTAGTTCTCCTGATTAAATAATTTCCTGCTGAAATATTTTTCTTTCGAAAATTCTAAACCTGGGCATCGTGCCGGGCCGGGCCGCCGCGGGCACGTGCTCCGGCGTGCCGTGCCGATCGTGCCGCCGTGCCCAGGAAGTCGTGTCGTGCCGTGCTGGCCATTCTCACAGGCCAACCCACGGCCTGGCACGGCCCTCATGCCTGGCGGCTCGTGCCGTGCCGGCCACGTGCCAGCCTGGCGGGCCGGCAGCGGGCTGGCAGTTTCCAACCTTTTTTTTTTTTTATTTTTTTTTTAAAAAAAGTGACAACATTATAACTTATATTATAATGTATATAAGTTATAAAATTATAATTATAATTATTTTTATAAGTTATAAGGTTATAAGTTTTTAATTATAAGTTGAATATTTATGTTTATAATTTATATATTCAATATTTTTATTTATATATTACTCTATACTATTACTTTAAAATTTAATGTTTATGATTTATTAAATATAATTTTGTATTAGTAATTGGTATAATTTTATTTTTTTTAATATGAATTTACAAATTATAACAAAACGGGGAAAAAAAGGCAAATTGGGCTTGGATGTGAATAATGCGTACTTCATATTATTATTACTTGAGTTGAGAAAATTGTACAATGATAAAAATCGTACAATGATGGTATTAAACAAAAATTGGAAAATGATAATATTGATAATGATTAAAATCGTACAATATACAAAAATTGTTTATTCTTCTTCTTGCTCGTCTTCGTCGTCGGCTTCGGCTTCGGCTTCATCGGCTAGTTGGATAGATTGGGAACTAGCTGAAACCGAACGGTCGGAAGCGGAGGTTCCTTCATCGTTGTCGTTGTCCTCGTAAGAACGGTCTTGTGAGCGATTTTCCGCATCCAACCAATCTTTGAAACACACGCACATTTCTAGTATTTCGGGTTTTAGACTTGTTATTTTTATCGTCCAGAACCCTTCCGGATGCGCTGAAAGCTCATTCGGAGGCAACAGAGGAGACTTGGATACCAAGAATGTCTCGTGCCATTGCCGCCAAAGTTGGATGCTTCGTGCTTTGTTGTTTCCACCATGCAAGGAGGTCGAGGCTGTTAATCTCATCGTCGTCCATGCCTTTGGTGAAGTCATAACTCAGGTACATCTGCAACTCCGAGACGTCGCTTTGCGTTCTCCTGATTGATGAATCACCTGAAAACCTTGAAATTAAGTTAGTAGCCTGTGAAAATAAATGTTTGGCCTTCTTACTTACGTTTTTGGATGGTTGGGAAGGCCCTGAGCGAGGAGCGGTGCCATATTTGCTTTCAT